CTCCAGTCTGGGCGACAGAGTGAGACTCCAACTCAAAAAAAAAAAAGAAAAAAAGAAACTTGCAAGTTTCAGTCCAGAAAGTTTTGCTTTTGAAATTATAAACCTTTTGTTCTGTAGATAGCAAACATTTCTTGGGATGTCTTAGCAACTGAGCACACTTGGCACTGACTGGGTCTACATGTCAGGAAGGGCAGGCAACAGGTGTTTTGTGAGCAATGTGGTCAGCAGCCAGACAGATGAAAAGTAACTGCTGTTCTTCTTTCAACTGGATTATCGTCCTCTGCCACCCCAATTCCCAATCTAAGGTGGGGTAAATGCAGGACATATGCCCCTCCCCTGCTGATGACACTTTCTCCATTGAGAGGACACTCCTGGCTAAGGCTGTCTGCGCTCTGTCAAAATGTCCTGGAAGACAGGCACATCTGTGCACTCAAGGCAGTTACTGAGAGTCAATGTCTTTGTTTCTGCTTCTTTGTATGTAATGCTATTGCTGTGTCTTGCTCCCTTTCCCATGCTGGAGGTATATAATCTCTCCCCACATCTACTGGGGTGGGGGGAACTTTGTACCGACCGGCTGCCATCGGTTCCCTCTCATAAGTAATAATAGATCCATGTCTTTACCAACCTGTCTGTCCTCTGGGTGATTTCTTCAGAATAGGTAAACATTACACGAGCACCTTGTCAGATTTGGGGCTACCACGATACAACTGAGTTCCAGGGAGATATTTTAGAAGAGATTGTGAAGTTCTCTAGTGTTAGGAATGCAGAGAAATGGGTCATTTAAAAAGTTAAAGAAATTAGTAGTTATTTCCCCCATTCATAGCAGCGAGTAAGGAAAGAATGAAGATAAACTTCTCCCAATCTCACAACTTTCACAGCTTCTCTGGAAGGCCCAGCACAAAAGCGTGTGTGTGTGTGTGTGTGTGTGTGTGTGTGTGTGTTTGTGTGTGTGTGTGTGTGTGTGTGCACCAAGGTGGGGGGAAATCTACAATGTAGTTGTTTGGGGATGCATGGCTCAGAGGAGGGGCAGAGTTTTCTGAACTTTTATTTGGAATAGTTAATGTCAGAGAGTTGGGAAGACTAGCAATGCTGGACTTTTCTTTAAATGTTCCCCAAAACAAACTGGCTCATTTTTTTTTGAGTCGGAGTCTCACTCTGTTGCTCAGGCTGGAGAGCAGTGTCACGATTGCTAGGATCACGGCTTACCGCAGCCTCAACCACCTAGGCTCAGGCGATCCTTTCACCTCAGCATCCCAAGTAGAGGTCTCACTATGTCATCCAAGCTGGGCTTGAACTCCTGGACTCGAGTAATCCTCTCACCTCAGCTTCCCAAAGTGCCAGGATTACAGGCATGAGCCACCGCTCCCAGCCCAGACGAGCTCTTGTTTGTTTTGACTTGATACTATTAGAAACAAAATATGTGATTTTGTGCGTGTGTAGCTCAGTGTCCCTGGAAACCAAGATGAAGAGAAGAACAAGCCTCCAGAGCCCACCTGGTCCGATGGCCTGTCCACCACTACCTCAGCCGAGCCCACCACCATCCACGTGCCACTGCCCAGCATCCCTAAGAATGGGGCAGAGAGTATGGAAGCCAGGACGCCACATCCCATTTTGCCTTTACAGTCAGAAGATTTGGTGTACAAAGGTAAGAGCTGTCTGCCAATTAGCCACGGTGTCCACAATGTGAGGCAGGCACAGGGAGCGTGCTCTAAAATCTCATCCAGAGAGAAAATGTTACGACTCTTGACAAGGAGGACAGGAGGTGGTTGTCACTGGATTATATATAGACTCTGAAAACTGGCTGGCTGTGGAGTAAATCTGGTCTATAAAAATGGTAAAGCACTTCCTGTATCTATTATTATGTTCATTTCAATACCTTTAGGGAGGATTGTGTGCTCCTGTCTGCCTGGTCCCAACTGCTCCCTTTCTAACTTTGCCCTTCAAGAACATAGTCACTTGAGTTTTTGACCCGTTGATTGTACAGGAAGAGAAAAAAAGCAAAAATCTGGATTGATTAATCAACGCATTTCCTTGAAGTTTGTCTATAGAAAGTTCATCCTTGGATACATATTTTCTACAGAGCATGCAAGAGACAACATCCATGTCCAAAAGGCCCTTAGATGGGCTTGAAAACAAGTTACACAATAGACATCATTCAGGGTTTTTGGATTTTGTGGGGTTTTTTAGTCAGGGTCTCACTTTGTGACCCAGGCCAGAATGCAGTGGCACGCTCAGTCAGTTGTCCCATCTCATCCTCCTAGGTAGCTGGGACAACAGGCATGTGCCACCACATCTGGCTAATTTTTAAATTTTTTTTTTTTTTTGTAGAGATGAGGTCTCGCTATGTTGCCCAGGCTGGTCTCAAACTCCTGGGCTCAAACAGTTCTTCTGCATCAGCCTCTCAAAGTGCTGGGATTATAGGCGTGAGCCACTACCCTGGCTTTTTTTCTTTTCTTTTCTTTTTTTCCTGCTTTTTTTTTTTTTTTAAAGACAGGTAGTAGACATTACTGTTTCTTTCCATTTGGTCTAAGGAGTCTGCACAGGAGAGGTAGCTTTAAAAAAAATTGATTCACGACATACTCCAAATCTGGGGACATGTTTAAGGGATATGGAGAGAGAGCTGGTTTGGTAACTGAGGAATGAAGCTTAGCACATAAACCATCTCACAGACAGCAAGCCCCAGAGTCCCAGATGGCAGTGACCTGTTTGGTTTTGGCTTTTTTTTTTTTTTTTTGGCTTCTCCCATCTTGGAATCTCTTCCTCAGGTAGGAAATACTACTCCAAGTTCTGCAGAAAGCTCAGTCATTTGAGGAAGCTGGTTAACACAATGTGGCTTTCTTTTTGTTTTTGTTTTTGTTTTGAATTTGTTTACTTATTATAAAGATGTAGGGTACAATTCAGGGTTAGGTATACAAACATTGATCATGCAGGTACCCTTGTTGATGAGGTATGCCCCTCCCTCCCCTAGCAGTTTTCCCCAGTTGCCAGTCCCACCCCCCCTTCCCCTGACAGTTTTCTGCTACTGCCAATTGCTTTCTTATAGCATTATAATTGTTCAAGGTCACCTTATGAGTAGAACATATGGAACTCAGTTCTTTGTTTTTGTGATAAATCACTGAGCATGATCGACTCCAAATCCATCCAATTTGCTGCAAAGTCCATGTACAATGTGGCTTTCTTATCATGGCTCCCTGTGCTTTCTTACTGTGGATACGTTTCTGAGATGTATTTGTAAACTGACATTAGGGGGACGCTTCATGTTTCTATGTCCTGCAAGAGATGCTTTCTCTAAAAGAGAATTGTGATCTAAGAGAACCCCCATTGCACCTTCCCTTTAGAGTAGCCACAATTGCACCTGACCTTGGCGGTGCTTTTTCCTTCTGTGACTAGACTGCGGGGGAGTGTGTGTAGAAGTGGACATCATCTTCATTCCAAATACTAATGTGATTGCAAATCAAGTCCAAAGTACATGAAAGGGGTCCTGTCTTTCTCCTGTCAACTACTCTCCACAAAAGTATTAAGCCAGTGAAGTCTCACCAGGCTTTTAGGGAAATATGCAGTTTAGTGAAGTTTCATGAAGATCAAAAGCTTTTATGTTTGCAAGGAATGAACTTCTTGGGGGAGTTTCAGGTGGTAGAGGAAATATTTGGGGTGTTGGGGATACCCCTTTCACCCACTTGGAACCATATTATTTGGTCTGTTAGTGTGCATGGAGAATATATTGTTGATTTATATGACTTCATGAAGTTTTCATTTTTTATCTCTTTGGTATAAGAAAAATTTGTAATAACCCATGATCCTTTTCTCACTCTAGATCCTAGATGTTTAGAAGCCTTGATGCCTGGAAACTGTGACAAATATGTGGTTCGATGGTATTATGACAAGCAAGTCAATTCTTGTGCCCGTTTTTGGTTCAGTGGCTGTCATGGCTCAGGGAACAGATTCAACAATGAAAGGGAATGTCAAGACACCTGCATTCAAGGATGAGCAGGTAAATCTATCATCTCCATCCAAAGCCTAGAAAGAACCTCTGTAATTTCAACAGATCCACCCAATACAAAGAAAGCACCGTATTCGAGTGTATACTGAGTGTTTGCAATTTAGAAATGTCGTCAAATTCTCATCACAGCCCTAGGATGTAGGTCTTAGTAGTCCCTTACACAAATGAGGAAGCTGAGACTGAAAAGCTTAGTGACGCCGGGCTCGGTGGCTCAGCCTGTAATTCTGCGCCTTTGGGAGGCTGAGGTGAATGTAATGCCTGAGCCCGCGGGTTCGAGACCCGCCTGGGCAGCGAGACCTCATCTCTACAATAAATAAATAAAAAAAAAAACAGCCGGGCGTGGTAGCGCATGTCTGTAATTCCGGCTACTTGGAAAGCTGAGGCGGAAGTATCACCGGAGCCCAGCAGGTCGAGGCTGCGGTGGCTGGAAGCAGCCACTGCACTCCAGTCTGGGCGACAGAGTGAGACTCCAACTCAAAAAAAAAAGAAAAGCTTAGTGACTTGTCAACTGTCACCCAACTAAAAAGTGGCAGAGCTGGGAATTTGGACACAGAGTCATGTACCTTCAACACGTGCACTCTGTCTCCTTCACAACCTGCAACGTGACTGCTTCCTGTTCACTCCTGTTGTTTGTATTATGTTGGATCGAACCCTTGCTCCCCACATGGCCACTCCCCCCCAACACCCCCAGCTTCCTCAGGCCCCTGCCAGAAGCAAAAGGTAGGTCATAGGGAGGAACTTTGGTTGGAAATTAGAAGCAATGAGAATACATTGGTGTGTGAGTGCTGGGATAGGAGTGGGGATTGTGAGGATAGATGTTTGCCTTACTTGACCCGAAAGTGATAATAGGGAGAAAGCAATCTGAGTTATTCAAATGTATTTCAAATGCATTACAAACTATCACTTCCTGTTGCTCCAACATGTTTGGCAACTAAGCCGTTAATGTATGTTTAAATTATATATTTAAACAAAGAAACATGTACACCCTTCCTTTAAAATATATGAGCAGGATTTTCATTTTATGGGAAACAAGATCTCCCTAGGCTGGTCTTGAACTCTTGGGCTCAAGCAATCCTCCTGTCTCAGCCTCCCAAAGTCTGGGATTATATGTATGAATCACTGTGCCCAGTGTTTTAAAGATAGAACTCACACTGAAAAGTGAGCCATGAAATTCAAACATGAGTAATGGAGAGTGACGGAGAATTGGCTCTGTCGTTTTATAAGAATTTTGTGACATCTGGTCTGGGTAGACCATTAATTCTGAGCTGAGCTCAGACAAAGTTTATATATGTTATCTCACAAAACACTTTCTTCTTCTGCCAGGCTGGTGACCCTCATTCAAGATCAACAGTGCAAAAAAGAGCACTCAAGGAAGAAGAAGAGGAAGAGGAGTCATCTTGGCAGAAATAATATTACGATTTCTTATGGTTTAATTACAATTGGATTATATAATATTGGGTACTACAAAAGAATACATGCAACATATCGCAAGTTAAAAAACATGAGATGCGCACCAGGGAACACATCACCTACAGAATGAAGCAAACAACTTGTGTGGGCCGCCACCCCCCTAACCCCCTGGTCTAGGTCAAGTTCTCTCTCCCGTCTTGAACTTCATGTTTACCATGTTGATTTGCAGTTAGTTTTTATGTTGATTTTACTTGTACAAAGAAATTCATCTCTATGTATCTCTAAGCAATACATATTTAGACTTGCTTACTTCAGAGCTTTATAAAAATTGTATCATACTCTAGTCTCTGCAACTTGCTATTTTCCTTCAACATTATAATTAATCCGTATGTTTTACCATATATAAACATATTTCTAAATAATTTATTATTTAGTTTTTTGGAGCTTTGGAAAATTTGTGTCATTATATGTAATTATCCGTAACTTGCTAGATGATAACATTATAGTTCATATATGTTCATTTACTTTCACAGTTGTACGACTATACCACAATATATTTAACCATTGCCTTGTCTATGAGTGATTAAGTTGTTTCTATTTCACTTTTTCAGTATTCCGCCAGTGTTGCTATGAATGTTTTTATTCATGTCTCTGGGTACACAAACATCAGTGTTTTTCTAGGATACATGCCCAAAACTGGAATTGCTGGGTTGCAGAGTATGTAAGCATTCCAAACTGGTATATCACACAATTTTTTCCTGAAGTGTTTGAACTAATTCATTATAAATTCCCACCAGTTGTATATACGACCTTCCATTTCTTAATAGTCTTGCCGACACTTATTATTGCCCCAGACGTCTTAATTTTGTTAATGTGGGTGTGGAACGAGTGGCTCGTTTTAATTTACCTTTCTCTGGTGACATCTCACCATGTTTATTTACCCTCTGTGCTGCTGCTTCTGTGAGATGTTGGTCTATAACTGGGAACAATTTTTCTATGGAATTGTTTGTCTTTTCCTTATTGAATTCTTGGAGTTCTTATATATGCTGAAGTCTCATTCTTTGCCTGTTATTTGTGTTACTAATATCTTTGCAGCTTATCTTTCTACTTTCTGTTTTAATGAACTCGATTTTAATGCAGTCCAGTTTACCCATCTCTCCTTTCACGGCTCTTGTTCCGTGGTTATGCTGCTCGCCTGTCAGCCATCTTATCCGGGCAGGAAACTTCCCCAGGACAGAAATAACTCTGAGTGTTGGCCTCATGTCTCTAGAGTTCATCTTCATGCCTGCTAATTTCTTAGAGTTCTACTCGCTCCTGGGTGATTTTTAAAAATTGCTTTATCTTCTTCAGTTGTCCTTGGCATGAAAGTGGGTATGAGTTACATAAATAGCCATTGTCACTCTTTTTTGTTGTGGGATGGAGGACTTCAGGTATTTTATTGTTTCCCAGAAACCCTGTAATGTGTTTTTAAAGTATGTATTCATCACCATATTGTTGGCAAGTAGAAGGACCCTTTAGAATTAAGAGGCTGCTATTGTGACAAGCAAAAATGCTCAGATTCCTTTTTCAAACTTTTCACAACTTTGCTCACACAGAAAGTTGATATGCAGACATAGAGGAGTGTTGACTTGGGCGTTCACCCCTTTGTCTGCAATGTCCTTTTCCTCCTTCCTTGACTAACCAAATCCCAACTTCAAGGACACATGAAGGGCTCTTCCTCGGTGTGCCTTCCCTATCCCTGCCAATTGGGTTACCTGCTGCCAACACTGAAGACCTGAAGCTCTTGGCTGGTCTCGTGCTGACCACAGGCTGAGCTGCCTTGGACTTGGTGGGGACACATCTGCATTAATTTCCTTTGCTGCTATAATGATTACCACAGATGTGGTGGCTTAAACAACAACAATGTATTATCCTACAGTTCTGTAGGTCAGAATTCTGATGCGGGTCTCCCTGAGCTAAAATCACTGTGTCCACAGGGTTGTGTTTCTTCTGGAGGATCTGGGGGAGAATTTTCTTTGCCTTTTCCAACATCTAAAGGCCACCCACATTCCCTGACTCATAGCCCCTTCCTCTGTTTTTAAAGAAGGCAACAGCAGGTTGGCACATCTCACACTGCCATCTTTCAGATTCTCTGACAAGAGCCAGGAAGGGTTCTCTGCTTTTAAGGACTCCTGTGATTGGACTGAGTTCACTTGAAAAATCCAGGATTCTTTTTGTGCCTCAAGGTCATTCACCTCAGTCACAGCTACAAGGGTCCTTCACAGACTTATTTACCGGGGGATTAGGGAGTGGACATCTGATAAAAGTCATTGCAGAAATAGCTACTTGCAAGAGAGGGATAGAAAAAGATAAAAGGAAAAAATCACAAGCAGTTAAAAAAGACACTAAGAGAAAAGTGATATGTCAGTGAGTGAACACTATTACCCTCTGATCCACTTGGAGATCAGTACTCCCCTTTCCACTCCTCTCCCCACCATTAGCAACACAAAGGGAAACATCACAGCAAGTGTTGTCTAACTGGATTAGGGATCTAAGAAGCTGAATTAAACAATTTGAGAATTAATTCTGGAAAGGAGAATGTTGATTTATATTTTCCTTTTAATGTAGTTAAAAAGCCAAGAGAGATGGGGAAGTTATATGACATTTTTTTTTCCAATCTCAAATTTAAAAAGGACAAAATCATTTTTATTTAGTGAAAACCTAGCATTGCTGACTATAAGAAATGCTCTCATCAGGTATTTGAAGAGCATGCTAAATGTATATATTGACAATTAGGCTTGGTGATTTTAGTCTTAATGTTTATCTATAACATAACAGAAAGTAATGAAATAATGAGAGAAAAATATTTGCAACTCACATAACAGCATTTTTTTTCACGTTTCTAATAAATCAAGAGAACCTATAAATAAAAAAGAAAAATGGGAATATGGCAGGGATTGGCAATTCAAAGGGATGGCCAATAAACATTTGCAGAGGTGCTCAACCCCATGAATGGTCAGAGAAATGCAAGCTCAAACAGGTCTGAGCTGGGTCAGGGCACGACCCCGTCATAAGGGGCCACAGGTGATTCTGCTGAGCAGCCCCTGCTGAGAGCCACCAAGGGGACACCTTGAACTCATACTCACCTGGAGAGAGTCTCATATTTGACTTGGTTGTTAAGTGTTTAACTTGTCCTCTACAGTTCTATGATCCAATGTCTTTAATGACTATCAGTGCAAAGATAGATTAATGCTTTTGAAGTGTTCTAGATTTTTCCGCCCTTATATTATCTTTAAGTGAAATGTCGCTAAAATAAGACATTTTAGAATAACTCAGAAATATGCTAAAACAAGATCAGCACCACATCAAATTGTACACGTGTATGATTTTTTTTTAATTTTTAAAATAATGGACTATCACTTTGCCAGCAGGTGTCTAAAAAAAAAAAGATAAAATAATAGGCTGATTTGATTTCTAAAAGCACTCATTATTTCTTATTATTTTACATAAATTAGTAGTCTTTGACTGAAAAAAAAATCCTTCATTTAAGCTACTTAATGCATTTAAAGTCATACCAGACTCTAGAATTTAGGAATGTTTAAAACCCTATGTTAATCAGGTTAAGAAAATATGGGCTCAGAGTCACCAAGCATCCTTAGAGCCTGGTGGTCCTA